ATATGATAGGAGGGGGAAGGAAAGAAAACATCAGCTCTGCGTTAATAGATTCAGAACATTGTGCATGTAATCATTTCAACTGCTTGTAAAATTAAATGGTTCCTTGGAGACAGCACACAGTGTTCATGTTGTCAAATCTATTATGTGAAAGAGGCTTGTCCCCGGGGGTCATCTACATAATTCTGTGTGCTGTGACATTGCAACTGTCTACAGTTACCTCATGTCTTATTGACTGTACTCTCTGTGCTATCTACTGTGCTTCAACATATACTGTAGGATCAAGGACAGCATGTTTAAACATTAAATATTCTTTCACCGCCTCTAATGATCGACGCTTCAGGGTGACAGATGTCATTTACATCCATAAAACCCACATACTCTCCATAGCTTCTGCCTTAAACTGACTGCGACATTCTTTATGTGATGCTGCTCATGCTTTATTCACTTACATTTAGTACATCTAACAATGTATTCTTCACCCTGTAAGGAAGATAAAAGTGTGGAGTTTCCACTTAGATCATTTCTCTGCTACATCAGCCTCAACTTAACTGCAGTGCATACATAATACATGGTTATGAGATATAGAGTTCCAACTTGCATTGCCTTCTTAATTTGGCTTCAAATTTAAAGATTCATGAAACATATCCTAATTAATCTAAAGCCAAAACACAAATCCGGAACAGCTGTGCTATTCTTATTCCTTTAATTTTATAAAACTTTGATCACCTGCTTCAAGTTACAGTTAAAAACAGTTTTAAAAAGCTCATACAGCAGAAGTAGTGAAGTCTTATTGACAGCTGTTAAATGTTGTTTTGCACATTTTGTGTTGACAATTCAGTACAGCGTGGCCATGGCATAAAATGATACCGACTGTGGACACCAAATGAGAAACTGGCTACAGAAAATCTAAAACAGCACGAGAACATTTACATTCTCATTTGGTTTCTCATAGTGTTAAATCCTGTTTTCTAATGAACTTAATTAGCTTTCCATGGTGACACTGTAATTCCTACAAACCAGGGCTAAAGCAGCAGCCTTGAAGTAGGCTGGCTGTAACATTTCAATTAAGTTACAGGGAAATGCCATGCTGTGGGATTTCTGGGTGGACTAAACTACAGGGAGCCTCTGAATGGAGAGACTTAGTGTGGATAGAAGAGAGCCTGCAGGTACACAGTTTGCCACGCAATTCAGGAAACGCTTCAGTAACTACACGTCCTGCCTGTCAGGCTGGATGAAGCAATGAATACTAACTGTTTGTTAAAGCTACAAAATATGATCACTGAGGTGAGAAAAATCCTGAAAAATATTCCCCAAACATCTACTATTTATTTGTTTGTTTATTAGTTTGTATGCAGCTCTTTGTTTGTGTAAACCTGCGCTTAATAAGTTGTTTACATGCTTAAAATGGATGATATCAGCCCTCCTTAGCTCAGTCTAACAGGCCCATCACCACGGAGACACAGCAATGGACTAGTTTAGAAATGAGCCCTCTTCATCCATCACACCAGGCTCCGGTTAAATATCGTGACCTTACTATCTATAGCACGATGAATGACCAGATATGGCTTAAAGGTCCTTGTCATCATATGAGGAAGTAATATATCTGTTTGTTTTTCTTTTATTATTCTTGTCTTGTTTTAAATATATAGTGGACAACCCGCAGCAAGGGCAGATATTTCATGTCACTGTTGGTGGGGATAATAAAAACGTCTCCAAGCGGGAGATTTTTAGAAATAAAGTCGCTGAGAGTCTGAAAAAGGATGTCAGCGGACCAAAGGACTGTGAGGAAATGAGGACATAATCTTTCAAAACTTATAAATGCATTGGACCCACAGAAACCTCCAATGTCACTTTGGCCTCTATTGTTTATTTTTCTAGTTGTTTTTCTTGTTGTTTATCTACATCTGGGTGAGAATGAGTTGATAAGGATTTCACAAAACACAGGTTTCAGAGTTGTATTTTGTGATTGCATACTTGATGAATAGCACCAAGTTCTTCTCATTGAGTAGTTTTCTTACACGATGTTGGGGTCTCAAATTGAATGGCATATTGCATGTAAGTTTACATTTAACTAAATATGCGGTGTCACATCAAAGACTCCAGGTTAATTGTGTGACTACTTTGTTAATGTAAGTTCCCGCTTTCGTTTTGCTGTGTATTTTTCAGGCCATCATATAAAGGGTGTTTTCCGCTTTTCTTTCGATTTTTTGTGCCATTAAAACTTTAATCTGTTGTGTTTATCAAAATGTTTTGATGGACTGTCAAAACACAAGTATTACTTTCCAGCGAATAAACAGCGTCTTGAGAGAGAAATATTTTCCACTTTTCATGTTGGCAGCAGGCTTCAGTTATAGTCACTATGAGGAATGAGTTCAGAACCACACAAAGCCCTTTATGTAAAAACAATTCTGGGAATATTTTCCTATTATTCTTTGAACATCACCTAGCCTGATGATGTTTTTCCATTTCTATCCCTGATGATTTGTATGATTTGTATGTTATGTCTTGTCAGGATCATTCATTTTTCAACATATCTGAAGGTTGCATTAGAGAGACAGTATCACGGTTTTCCAGGAATTAATCGGCACACAATTTAATAATGTGTAATCTAGTTCAGTGACTTAATTTAACATACAGGCCACAAATCAGATAAAAGATCAAAATGTTTTATGAAATCATTTGTAAGAAATCTACTTTGTGGTTTCCCACAGGGCATCTTCACTAATATAGTTAGTTAAAAGATATTGAGACCAGGCCCAAAATAAATTAAGGTTAATATAGGAAAAGACTGCTCCAATCATCCATTGTCAACAGATTATCCTGCGTACAGGGTTGTGGGGGGATGGAGCCAATCCCAGTTTACATCGGGTGAAAGGTGGGGTACATACTGGATAGGTCGCCAGTCCATCGCAGGGCCACACTCACATTCACACCTAAGGACAATTTTGGAGACACCAATCAACCTAGCCTGCGTTTCTTTGGATGGTGGGAGGAAGCCGGAGCACCCGGAGAGAACCCACGCAGAGAAAATGCAAACTCCTCACAGAAAGGCCGGGGTAACTGGGATTTGAACCCACAACCTTTTTTCTGTGAGGCAATAGTGCTAACCACTGCACCACCGCTCCACCCCCTGCTCCAATCAAACTCTGTCAAAATGCGCTCTCATATGACTACTTAATGCTGATGCACCGCTATAAATCAAAGTGACTGAAATCTCTGTCTTGATCAATGTGTTCATTGCCATCTGCGATTTTCTCCTTTTGACTTGTGTTGTTTCTAATTTAGCTGGACTCACATTATTGGCAATACTTTTTATCAGTCCAGTGATGCATGTTCTTTGCTTCTGTGGCTGACATCAAAAATTGTTTGTAATGATACTTAGCATGGATAACACACGAAATGATCTAACAAATAAAATAAAATCCAGTTACTGCTCTGTGCTCAATGGGGCTGGCAGGAGCAGGAGACATCCATCAGTCAGCATGAGAGGACCAAACAGAACTGCTTTAGAGCTTGACAAACTTGATATACCTTGAAGAGGATGTATACGGTATGATGCATATGCAGCTTCAAGAGGTGACCTACCGAATCCGCTCCCTTGTATCCTGTCCTTTGTGCTACTATATATATATAACGGATTTGAACGCAAGTTGTTCATGACTACTAAACAATTTGTGTGAAAAAAAATAACAGGACATCAATGATGTGCAAGTATCAATCAGAGAAATGAGAGTCTAACTCACTTAATTCTGAATATATATCAAAATATCCACAAACAAATCTTGAGAATCCAAACTATCAATTGTGGCATCATTCACTACATTCACAAGGTCTAAACTGGATGCAAATGTCTACAGAAATCACCACTTGTTTGAAACATATTCTTTGGGTTTAAATTAACACTCCAGCAGCCCCAGCCAAACGCATTATCCAAGCCACAATTACATTCACCATGTACTGTAGATTGGTAAGTCTCACAGTCTTATAAAGCCTTTTCTCTTGTCACGTTACAAGTGAAACATACTGTTTGAAAATACAATAAAAGCATAAATCTAACCCGTCTTACCTAACAAAGCAGCTAAACTAAGCAACTAAACGGGGTTATGTTGAGGAAATAAGACCTGACCTTACATTTTTCCATATCATACTTATTGTATAACACCAGCACTAAGTAGCTCTACACTGTATTACAAAACCACTGTAGCTTCTGTATTTCAGTTTTCATCATCAGACAACCTTGATGTTTTGGTTCTTTGAGATGGTCACGTTGTTGAGCATACACACTGAATGACAACATTTTATTTATTTGAAAAATAAACCAATCACCCTTTTAAGCTTCACGTGTTGACTGGCTATTCTACTGATATTTGAAATGGTAGTTTTATGCTTTGCATTTTCTCATCTGCAATAGAAGATAATGAGGGGGGAATGATGAGAAATTCATCACAGGCACAATGGACCCGTGGCTATTTGGACTAAATGGAAAACCGGACATTAATGCAGAGTGAGCATAATCCTCAGTCTTCCTCTTAATGTGGGGATGGAGTGATGACTAATAAGCCAAGTTTCATTTGCTAAGAGGATTATGAATTGTTTCAACTAAATGGGATTATTAACCAGTGGTTCCATACTCTTTGGTGTTGGGCAGGATCATGACCAGAAGTTCACTTTCATGATTGTCACCCACTGTCTAATGATAACTTTGTTATAGTAGTTGGAAGCCTGGATGAATAGTTGGTGCAGTAATGTTCTAGTGCAGTAGGGCAGTTACATAACATTAATCAAATACAAGTAAACCCCTCTTATTTCCTGCTAAATCTCAAGTCAATAGTCGGCTGGATTTGAGGAGTTTCACAAGAGCATTGGTGTGAATACACTTCATTTTATTGTGACCTCTTTGAATAGGGTAATACAGTATACAGAACACGTACTGGACTATATGCCTTCTGGTCTCAACAGTTTGGTGATTGTTCTGTTATGGTTTCGGACAGAACGGACCCAAACGCAACGCTTGTCAGTTTACAAAAGAGGTTTATTGAGGGAAAAAAGGGAAGAGGGGAGACGGGAGGTGAGAAGAGGTAAACTGGACGCCGGCAGACGTGAGCGCGGAGGAGCTGGCGGGGGCCGGCAAGGCTCGAGCGAGGCGACTGAGAGGGGGCAGGAGGCCGAGGCCGAGGCGAGGGGAGAAGGCAGGTAGGCGAGCCCAGCTGACTGACTGGATGGCGGGAGACAAGACAGGGTTAGTCTCGGGAGACAACAGGTTAGGGAACGAGGTATCAGAGAGCTTGGAACGCCGAAGTGGCACCAGGACTGGAGCGACGACGATCAAGCGGAGATGGTAGAAATACTGTTGAAGATGAGACTGATGGCAGGCAGGTGTGGCGGGCGAAGGTGGAGGTTGACGAGACACAGGTGCGGGTCATCAGCCGGGCTCCAGGGCGGAGAGGGAGAGAGCACACACAGAGGGAGAGGGGAGGAGACACTGGGGAGAAAACAGAAATGCGAGACGAAGGAAAAAAGAAACAAAAGAGCACAGGGCACTCACCGTCAGCCGGGCTGCCACCGCAACATGTTCCTTCCCTATACAAAAAAACTGCTGTCAGATATTAGTTTAAAAAAATAGGATCTCTACTTTAGATGAGCTTTTTGCTCATTGTTTTGGTTTATGGCCCAAATCGCAGACAGAGTTATTGACTTGCTGCTGAACTTAATGGAGCATTTAGCAGCTAAACAGCCAGATATTTTTCTCAGGAGTTGATGGTGACCAAACCAGAGCTAAAAGGAGAGTCACTGTTGAACCTATATTCAGAAAGTGGTCAGAAACAACGACTCCAAATGAATGTTAATATTGCTCCATTTCTGAGGAAGGTGTAAATAAACATGTTTGTCATAATTACTTTATAGGGTGATGAAATGTCACTAGTGTTCACAGCTTGTTCAGCTGCCCCCAAGTGGCCAAAATCATTTAATGCTGCTTTCATTGTTGCAGTATTACCTCTGAAATTCATTAATTAAATGATTTTACTACAACAAAGTCAAAAGGCTATAATATGTAGCTGTGAAAGAGTTTATATTGATGTTCATTGTTTTTGAACACTTACTTCACAATTACTTATTTTCAATCTTAATTTCATTATATAATTTTTTTTTATTACACCATGTCAGTCAGCAGACTTACAGCATGCAACAATAATTGACAACAAGCCCCACACCACGCCATTAAGAACATGTAACTGTCATGGTTTTTGGGGTTTTGTTGTGCATTTCCTGTTTTATTTGGGTAAACAAAATCCTTCCTTGTGCGTCTTTGTTAACTTCGCTTCCTGTCTTTGTGTTTTTCCATTCTGTGTATTAGGTTTTGCCAATATTTACCACCACAAAAGTGTCCCTGAACAAGGCCCTTAACCTCAACTGCTCCAGTAGAGCTGCTCAGTGGCCAGCACATCAGACAGTGGCTGTACTGGGCAGCTTCCAGGTGTGATTGTGTAACGGTGTGAATGTGATCAGGGTCTTCCTGCAAAAGAGAGGCTTCCTCTCAGTGAAGCTCCCCTGAGTAAATTCATTCTGTGTTTCCTGTTTTACCATGTAACTCACCTCTCCTCTTGTTAATTATTGCAACACTTCCTGCGTGTGTTTCCCGCCTGTGTAATTGTCGAATCCGCCCTGATTTGTTTCTCCTTTGCCTTGTTATCCTCACCCCTCTCATGTACTTAGTTTGCCTGTTTCCCTCACTCTGTGCCAGGTCATCTTTGTCTCTTGACCTTACGTTCCAGCCTTTTCCCCTAGAGTTAGTTTACCTGTGTTTTGGACTTTCTGTGTTTTCCCCCTGAGACCTTGGCTGTTTATTTGACTGTGGATTCTTGCCTGTATCCTTTTGCACTTGTTTGCATGTGTTGGACTACTACCTGATTATGACCCTTGACTGCCTCACCTTGTTGTAAGCTTGTTTGATTTATCATTAAATCATAGAACTGCAGCTGCTCTGCCTCCAGTGTCTGCTATTGGGTCCAATTCCTTGTTATGCAGCTCCCCTGCCAACACTGTTTGTGATAGTATGAACGGGTCAGCCTTGGATCCAACAGATGGATGTTTTGAAGATGAACTTTGTGATTTGTCTTACACCCTCCTGTGCCTCTAAGGTAGTTGGATGAGGGGCCCTCGTAGAGAGTATAAAGAGCCAGCTCTGACTGTGGCACGCATGGAAATGTCTGCTAAACCTGGAGGTTAGTAAATTTGAGGCTAGCAGGCTGTGTTGTAAACTAGAGGCTAGAGTGAAGACTGGCTGCTGGCAGGCCAGATGTCATGCTGGAGGTTAGCTGACTGGTAGCAAGATGAGGCGCAGGCTGAGAATCAGTTGTGCTGAGGAAGTCTTTAGCTCACCCGGGTAAAATATTCCTCTGCCAAGGTTTAGCAGACATTTCCATGCGTGCCACCGTCAGAGCTGCCTCTTTATACTCTCTAAGAGGGCCCCTCATCCAACTACCTTAGAGGCACAGAAGATATCTTCTGTTCTGGTGCCGCAGCAAACTGCTAATCCTGACCTCAACCGTTCCTCCAGAGCCGCAACAATCCCCTGCTAATGATAAAGGATACATAGTTGAATCATTGATGTCAGAAGAGGGTCGATGGATAATTTTACTTTTCAAATCAGACAATTCCTTCTTTATAGTTTGTAATTTATATAGCTACAACAAAGCAAGTCAAGCAAAAACAATGTTTATAAAAGTTTGCACATATCTGAACGCCCTTATAAACAAATATAAGGACGCACACTTGATCATTGAAGGAGATTATAATGATGCTCCAGATGATCTTGTAGATAGAATACCTGTAAGATTAATTCCACAGTCGAGATTCAAAAGCACTGCATTTATCTGTGAACAGCTGTCAATCATAGATGTTTGGCATTTTTTAAACACGGACATTAAGGAGTAATAATACCAATAGATCCTTACAATCTAGAATTGATTCATGGCTTATATCTCCCTCTTGTCTACAGTTTGTTTCAGAATCATCGCATAGTTATGCCCCACTTTCGAACCACAAATTAATTTTTAAAAAATGCAAATAACATATTTGGTAACAATAATACAGTTTTTCTCAAATGCTAAAACACAAAAGCCAATCCTCTAAACCAAATGACCAGTTGTCTAAACACATTTACTAAATCTAGCCATCATTTTCCAATATCATAAACACATTTCACATGAAGACACAATTCACAAAACACAATCCTCCGTTCACATAAATCTTAACACATTTTTCCTTGCTAAAACACAAGTTGCAAAAGAACTCTGCTCATATTCTCAAATGAAAGCTCATGTGATGCAAAATGCTTGCCACAGTCAGCAATATTTGAACAAAATGAACACACCTGGCGTCATTCATTACACACAACGATTCAAAATTGAAAACACCTGTTGCTAATGCTGTGACCACATGTATAAAAGCAAGTTCAGCGTGCACAGTTTGCTGAAGATTCCAAACAAACGCAATGGATGAAGGCAGAGTCAGGGGAAGAGGTAATCGAGTCAGAGGAGGGAGAGGAGCAGGCCAGGGAGGAAGAGGAGCAGGCCAGGGAGGAAGAGGAGCAGGCCAAGGAAGAAGAGGAGGAGGCCAACAAGGGAGAGGAGAAGGTCCAGGAGGGAGAGCAAGACAACCTCGCACCATCATTACGGACGAGATGCGAGCAACAGTCATTGACCATGTCATTGTCCATGGCATGGTCAATGGCTGAAGCAGGACTAAGAGTCTGTCCAAACCTGAGTAGGTTCACCGTGGCCACCATTATCAGGGCATTCACACAACACAACAGGTATTGTACTATTGCTTTCTTTGTCACAATATAATTTTAAAAGCCTGTGAAAGTAGTCTATTAGTTTCAAATCAGTTGTTACTGTATTGTAAAACATGTCAATTGACAACACGTTTCTTTCTTTAGAGTTGAAAGAATGCCACATAGAGGTGGGAGGGTTTCCATATTTACAGCGGCACAAGAAACCCTCATTGTGGATATGGTTCGTGAGAACAACCTCATCAGACTCCGGGAGATCAGAGACAAAGTCATTGCCGATAATGTGAACTTTGAGGGCATTGATGTCAGCTTGGCCACAATAGACCGAGTTCTCCGGCGCCAAAAGATGCGGATGAAACCAGTCTATAGGGTTCCCTTTGAGCGAAACTCTGCACGACACAAAGACCTACGTTACGAGTATGTGCAAGTAAGTATACATCCATGTTCACAGTACAGTTAGTGAACATACTGTGTTGCTCAGTGGCCTACATTACTTCTGGACAATACTATGCTACCTGATTGACTGTTGTTCTGAACACCTGTGCACTTTCACATTTTCACAGAGGATATTACAGTTGGACGCGATGGCCAGACCTCATGAGTACCTCTTCCTGGATGAGGCTGGCTTCAACCTGCAGAAACGAAGGCAAAGAGGCCGTAACATCATTGGCCAAAGAGCCATCACTGAGGTTCCTGGCCAACGGGGGGGGGGGGGGGGGTAATATTACTCTTTGTGCGGCCATGGGTTTGGAGGGGCTTGTCCACCGGCAGGCTGTCCTTGGGTCTTACAACACCCAACGTCTCCTAACCTTCCTAGAGGAGCTAAAAGATATCCTCCTGGACCGCCAACAACACCATCCTGGGCCCGAACATCCCATTTATGTGATCATTTGGGACAATGTACGCTTCCACAGAACAAACCAAATCAGAGTGGTTCACCACCAACAGTAACCACTTTTTAAACGTCTGTCTGCCACCCTACTCCCCTTTCCTGAACCCTATAGAGGAGTTCTTCTCATCGTGGAGATGGAAGGTTTATGACAGACAACCATACACTAGAGAGAACCTCCTAAGGGCAATGGAGCTGGCGTGTGTTGACATCCCAGTGGAGAACTTCCAAGGATGGATCCGCCATTCCAGGGCGTTTTTCCCGCGGTGCCTGGCAAGAGACAATATAGCCTGCGATGTGGATGAGGTGATGTGGCCCGATGCAGCTCAGCGACATGATGCCGCACAGTGATTGTGGTGTAAATAAAAAAAACTTCACACCCTGATCATGTTTTCAAGAGTACTGTTGTGTGCGATAGATTCTGTTTTTGCATTGAGTTGTTACAGTAGTGTACAGAATTTACTATAGATTTATACTCTTCATATGAAACTCACAAATCTAAATGCCCAATCCTCTGCAGAGATCTAAGAAGATCCATTATTGTAAAGTTTCTAAAAATATGCATTGGCAGTTATGAAACAAAGAACCTTCTCACAAATTGAGCATTGTGTTTTCAATTGTTTTGCTGTAGTGTGTAATGATGTGTATAGTGTTTACATTTTTGAAAGCTTCGAGCTGCTCTTTTGGTGTGAAAGTTTGAGTTTTGAAGGGAGAAGGTGTGGTTGTGTTTATGTAGCTTTAGAAAAGGGTGTTGTGTTTAGACATTGGAGAACATGGACGAAACGTTTGTGAAATGTGTTTTAGCATTTGAGAAAAACTAACATGTAATTCATCAAAATATTGATTTGCTTGCTATGATGCTGTGTTATACATTTACTACTGTATTGATTTTGTTCAAACTGTCACAGTCAATTGTCACAAATTACATTTGAAATGAGAGCCACGGGCAATCTATAAGAGTCAAACCATGCAGTTTTTTTGTTGTATGTAATGGTACCATACTCAAAAATCCCAGAATTCACTTCCCATAGCAGCACATGCACAGGATAACAACCAGTCCAGTGGTCAGCGGGTAACTGGTGAATGTGGAGGTTATGATCTGAGAGAGGGGAGCTACCAGTATTTCAAAGAGCTTTGATTATCCTCCCTCATGTACAGTTCTGTGCAGTTAGCAAGCTAGTACCCTTATTATTCTGTGTCTGAGGTATGATAACTTTAAAAGCAACACTTACTTCCATCCATGCTCAAACAAGCTAAGTAGTTGGTGTTTCAATCATATATTCACATAAGACATCCTTATCATTGCACTCAAGTCATAACTTTTCTGAACATGTGTTACAGTGGTAATAACAAATAAGCTTTGTTCTTACCCCTCCTGTATAGTTTTTTTAAATTTAAATTCAATGTATTTGAAAAGTTCAAGTTTTTGATTTATCCCTTTCCTTTGTGAATGTTTCATTTGTTTTTCTCCTCTTCCTCCACCTCTTTCCCATAAATCAGGTGACAAACTGTGTTAAAACTATGATGCAAAATGAAAGAGATGTTTTATAGAACTCAAGATCAAACAGGTTCCTTACAGTCAACAATGTTTCCTAATTTGTGCCATCAACAGTGTGACACATGATTACAGTAACAATGTAACTATAATAAAGTTACTGGGGGGGAACATTGTGATTTCTGCTGATGAAATATTTTTTAATCTGTCTGTTTCAATTTAAACTTACACAGTTAATTACAGGGATGAAAATCTCGGTTTTCATGCAGTGGTAAGATTTGTTAGGGTTCAATTTCACATCTGTGTCTGGTTTTTATTTTGGTCGCTTAGTGCATGCTGGCTGCTATAGCACATGGCATACGTACATTTGGTTTTGCTTTATCTGAAAAGCACCAAGGTACACTGATTAAGGAAGCAATTTGTGAGGCACACATTTTTACTGGTGAATGTGTGAGGTCAGAATGTTTGAGAGGAGTGAGCCTGACTCTGTTCCTCACTCCATAAGAGACTCTAAGCAGTGTCACATTGAGGCTCTGATATCTTGTTGATGTGTCCACCACCAACAATGATGTCCTTGGCTGCGGTGCTTATTCCCCTGTTTTAACTATCCAAACAAACAGCTGCCAAGATTGTTTTTTTCCCTCTCGTGTCCTTGAATTCCCATTGGTTTCAAATTCACAGTGTAAATGGTTGTGTTCTGTGTAAATGTGATGAAACAAGACTACAGCCTTGCTAGTGGCTCTGTGAGGCTGTACTTGTGCATGGCAGTGTTTTGAGCTAAATGTTAGCATGTTAACA